GTAAAATCGTTCATGGATCGCAAATACATGAGTAGTCGCGCAACTCCACCAATATCTGATATCAAAATACGAAGTTTAAACGGAGATTGCTCCAAGATATCCTTTGAAATTCCCAACACACGGATAGAAGCATCGAATGATAGTGGTGGTGTTGACAAAATCTTTGCAGAATATCGGCTTCCAATAATCGACTTTTTAACATCTCCACCAAAGATCCCAGATAGAATAGGGACAATAATAACATCCTGCTCAGCAGCAATACTTTTTCCCGTAGTCATGTAATTATAATTTCCGATTTTTTGAATAACACTGAGCTGGGGGTTAGAGAATTGCTCCATTTCGTTTTGATAGTCATCTTTCCATATCACAACACATAAAGTTTCCTTTATGCTCTTCCATTTTCGGTAATGATTGACAATAAACCTAAGAACCTCAGTAACATCATCAAAAGCCATTAATGACTCTTCGCCATATTTGCATATTATCGTTTGAATAAATGCAGATAGACTTGTTTTTCTTCCACCATAATATACAGTAGCCAGAGATAATCCGAGCCATTGATCTTCTTTGCATGCATTTCGGTTAAATGAGTGAAAATCCTTATTCAAATCCAGGACAAGAACATTTTTATACTCTTTGATCATTTTCATACAAAATTGAGTTACCAACTCCGTTTTGCCAATTCCACAACCACTAAAACATAAACCAAAGTAGGTATCCTGACAATGCTGCGATTTTCGTCCTTTAGAGTTGTTAATGAAAATTTGATTCGCAGCAATCAATCCATCATCACGATCCACAAACTCTGCTGAGGCACTTTTTTCATTGACTAAGTTAACTTCACCTGGACTGAAATCTTGTAATATCTGACCCAGTTCTATTTTGCGTTTTTTATCTGAATTGAATGAAAAATAAATAAACGAAATGTAAAATGATTTTTTGTATGTTTTTTTATGCAATTTGCTCATTATCTGCACCTTTACCAAATTCTCTTAACGTCTTTCCCCACTCCACCATTCGGTAACAATGACAAATATTACTATTTTTAAATTTGCGTGAGAACATACCAGGCGTGGATATTAGACTTTTCAAGTAATCCCGTTTCCCATCATCCATTGTGTAGTCAGAAAGAAAAGACACCGCAACAGCTTTCTTTTCTACATTTTTAGTGAAGTAATTGCGTAAATTGTCTTGTTCATTTGAAGTGAAACCGAGACGATTAATTTCCGTTCTAAGAGTCGTTAATGCATCCATACCGTAATGTTTTAGAAAAATTTTTTGGGGGGTGGGGATATATATAATGATAAATCGATTGTCGCACAGGTTGATCTAACCCGGAATATCCGATTTACTTTATTTTTTTAAATATTGTGCCATTCATTCTACATATGGAAAATTTGTGTTCGTTCGAACATTTGGGAGCTTTGCTATTAAAAGTGGGTTCCGAGACTATAAATTGATTTTGAGTTAAATGATGATCAAAAAAT